CCGCGCTGCAGACGTGTTTCCGGAGGAGGAGGAGGAGGAGGAGGAGGAGCGGATCACGCCGCGGACTGTAGCTACGTAGGTGCCGGCGGCAGCGACTGTAGCGCATGGCGGTGAGCGGTGCCGAGAGGATGCGTGGGTGGCGAGGCCTCGGGCCGTGGGCTGCCCCTCGTGAACCTCTTGCTGCCCCCTTTTCTCCAGACCCTGGGACATCGTGCTCGGGAGACACCGGCGGCCCCAGCCCCAGGTACCGCCCGCACGCCACGCAGTCCCTGGTCCCCCGCTTCCCCCGCCCCCCAGTCCTTCCTCTGTCCGGTTTCACCCCGTTTGTCCCTGTTTAGGACACACCGTGTGCAGTGACGACACCTCCAGGGCGCCTCCCGTAGGCGGTGAAGGCGAAGCAGCTTCTAGGAAGCAAAAGAAGAAGAAAAGCCGGAATGGGGCCTCTGTGTCGAATGGAACCGGGAAGGCCTGCGAAAAGCCGGCCCCAGAGGAATCCCTCCCAAGCCCGGAGGCCCAGGCAAGGAAGGTCCTCCGTCGGGAAGGATGGAGGCCCCGGGTGCATTCTGGGTGCGAGTCCCCCAGGGTTTGAGGGAAGGCAGGGCGGGCGGTGGGGGCCTCAGGGTCCTGGTAGCCTCTCACAGCCACTGTCTCTAATCTGTCTTAGGCGGAGCAGCTGGCTCGGGAACTGGCCTGGTGCGTGGAGCAGCTGGAACTGGGCCTCAAGATGCAGAGACCCAGCCCGAAACAGAGTGAGAGGCCCTTTTATCGAGCTGGGCGGAGGTGAACGGTGACAGGACTGGCCTGCAGTTGCCGGCCCGGGGTTGGACTTGTTGCTTTTGCGTAGGAGGTGAGGATGGAGGAGGTCTCTAGTCCTTCGTTTTTATCTGCAGAAGAGCAGGCTATCGGGGCCATCCGAACCCTGCGCAGCGAAAGAATCCCTCTGCCCCGCAAGAGGCAGCTGATGCGCTCCTTGTTCGGGAACTACAGGGCTCAGATGGAGGCCGAGTGGCGCGAAGCCCTGCGGGCTCTCAAGACTGGTGAGGGGCCGGGAACAGACCAGAAGCCCAGGGGGTGGAAGGAAGGACCCAGGGCAGCAGGGCTGCCGCAGGGAGGGGAAGCCTGTGCCCCGGAGCACAGAACTCGGGCTTCCATGGGGGCAGCCAGGGTGGGAGAGTCATGAATTTCTGTGCTTCTCCATGGGGTGTGACGATGATACCTGCCCTAACATTGTGAGAAGTAAATCAGTGTATTTATACAAAGTGGTTATAGTTGTATGGGTCCAGTTGGCGTTAGCTGCTATTGCTGTCTGACACTCTCTCCCCTCTCCCACAGCAGCCCAATCAGCCAGTGTGCAGCCTGTAGGTGAGGCCACCAGAAAGAAGAGCCGAAGGATCTGCAGGCCCCGTCTCGAAAGGGGAGCCAAGGCCCCCCTGGACGTTCCAGATGAAGAGTTTAGGTTCAATTTCTTTTAGCCTCTCCTCCCATCCTGCAAAGCCCCCCTCCCCAGGGTGTAGGGGTTTGCCTGGAGCTCACTTAGTTGGAGGGATGTGGGGTTGGTCTGTTAACCTGGTGCCATGGCTGCTGGTCAGATGTGAGGCCAGCATATTGAATACTGTCTGACAAGCACAAGGCCCCATTTGTAGGTTTTCAGATGAATGGTTCCTGCTGCTAGAAGAGGGAGGTCTATCTAAAAGGGTTCTGCAGCAAACTGGTGTCAGCATGTGGCAGGAATGTCTTGCTCAGTTTTCAGGGTTCGATTATGTGGCTGAGGGTGAGAGGGAAGATGCATAATGCACATTGGTGCTCACTTTGGAAAGGCATGCTGTTACACTGATGGTGCTTAGGTAAAGAAAAAAATATTAAAAATTAAAACCATAAAAATGGATGAGAGAGCGTGTGCTGATTGCTTGTGTTAGACAAAGTACAGATGATGCCAGTGTCGGGTACTGGAGTCCAGGCTCATCCCAGTGCGGTCCTTTGTGTTGTCTTCCTCCTGGGCAAGGGCCACCCGCAGGGAGCAGTGTGGCCCCACAGGCCAGCCTCTGTTCCGAGCTGACCAGGCCGGAGTCCCAGGGCTGGTGCTGCAGGGAATCGGGTTTTGCAGTTGTCTCAATCCTCAGTGGCTTTGATGCTGTCTTTGTTGGTCTCTCACATTTGCATCCAATAGTCGATCGATATCTGGAGCCCACGTGCGTAGTCAGCATCTCTACCTCGATGTTTCATAAGCATTTCACGCTTGTTCAAAACAGTCATTTAGCGCCCCCGCTGGTGTGGCTCCGTGGTTGATTGTCAACCTGTGAACCAGGAGATTGCGGTTTGATTCCTGATCAGGGCACATGCCCAGCTTGCAGGCTGGATCCCTGGTAAGGGGCATGCAGGAGGCAGCCAATCAATGATTCCCTCTCACCATTAATGTTTTGATCCCTCTTTCCTTCTCTGAAATCACTAAAAATATATCTTAAAAATACTAAAGAACATTCAGTTAGCCCCCAAAATCTCTGTTTTCTGTTTTTGTACCTAAAGTTTTTTAGAATTTATTGCAGTAATACTGGTTAAGGAAATTTTATAGCTTTTAGGTACATGATTCCACAAATTATCATCGGTACAACTGTATTGTGTGTTCACCACCCCAAGTCAAATCTCCATCACCATTTATCCCCCCCTCCATTCTCTCCCACCTTCCTCCATCCCTCCTCCCCCTGGCAATCACCACACTGTTGTCTGTCCAGGAGGTTTTTTTTCTTTTTTGCTCAATACCACCCACCTCAACCTCCAGCTTTCTCCAGGTCTCATCCTGACTGATGCTTGAGCCTCCAGGGTGAGTCCAAACTCTCCGTGGAGTCACCTGTCATGCCGGGTACTATTTCTCTCATCAGTCACTTTATTGTGCCCACAACACAATGTGAAGGCTGGTGGGTGAGGCCTCACAGAGGGCCTGCACATTTTCATGCTCCTGACTGACATCTGATGTGGCCCCCTCCCCCTGTTCCAATCTTGCTGCTCCTGAAGTAACCACAGTAATCCTGCATCAAGGTCTTTACTGGCTTCTGGGAGAAACAGCTTTAAGAAAGTAACCGCTCTAGCCAGAGTTGCTCAGTGGTGAGTGTCTGCTCGCACACTAAAGGGTGGCTGGTTAGCCGAAACCGGTTTGGCTCAGTGGATAGAGCCCCGGCCTGCGGACTGAAAGGTCCCAGGTTCGATTCCGGTCAAGGGCATGCACCTGGGTTGCGCGCACATCCCCAGTGGGGGATGTGCAGGAGGCGGCTGATCGATGTTTCTCTCTCATCGATGTTTCTGACTATCTCCCTTCCTCTCTGTGGAAAATCAATAAAATATATTTTAAAAAAAATAAAGGGTGGCTGGTTTGATTCCCAGTCAAGGGCATGTACCTGGGCTTCAGGTTTCACCCTGGCCTGGAGGGGGCGTGTGCTCAGGAAGCAGCCACTCAGTGTGTCTGACATGGATGCTTCCCTCCCATTTTTAGGGAAAACAAACGGGGGGCCCAGTGGAGCGCTGTGTCAGGCTGCTGGGCTTCACAGCAGGTCCCCCTACAGGTTACTTGGGGAAGCACAACACACTGGGAAAGTGGCCTTTGAAGACCAGAGATGGGAGTGTGCTGTCTGCCCTCTGAGCCACCGTCCAGCTGCCTTATCCATTATTGTTGTTAATCCTCACTGGATATTTTCCCATTGATTTTTAGAGATAGTGGGAGAGAGAGGGAAAGACAGAAACATTGATGTGAGAGAGACACATCCATTGGTTGTCTCCTGCAGAAGCCCCGGGCCCAGGCTGGAGAGGAGCCTGAAACCGAGGCATGTGCCCTTGCCCGGAATCGAACCTTGGAGCCTTCAGTCCACAGGCCGACTGTCTATCCATTGAGCCAAAGTAGCCGCTCACACTTGGCTTTCTTTTGTTGCTGCGACTTATTTCTCAGGCAGGAGCCACAGCCGCCCCTGCGTCTCTCCTGTGTCTTGTGTGCTGAGCCCTTTTGTGTGTTATATTCCCCAGGTTAAGTGAACGTTGCCCTAAAAATGATGTTTTACTATAAGCACGTGGCCCTGTGACTGGTATTGCGGCTGTCGACCCTCTGCTGCTCTCTTGTGGCCATTGCAGAAAAATACACTGTGCTTATGTCCTTGGTGCTGAAATTTCAGGTCCTAAAAATCTCTTCATAAAAACCTGGAAAAAGAAAACCCAGAGCCCTACCTGGTTTGGCTCAGTGGATAGAGTGTCGGCCTGTGGACTCAAGCGTCCCAGGTTCGATTCCGGTCTAGGGCATGTACCTTGGTTGTGGTCACATCCCCAGTAGGGGGTGTGCAGGAGGCAGCTGGTCGATGTTTCTGTCTGATAGATGTTTCTCTCTCTCTCCCTCCCTCTCCCTTCCTCTGTGTAAAAAAATCAATAAAAATATTTTTAAGAAAATACAAAGAAGAAACCAACAAAGAAAGACCACAGAAAACCTTAGAAAATCATCGAGGCTGTCCAGGGTGCAATTATTTTCCCCCTGGGTGGACTGAAGTCACAGGTCTGGATTTTGCACCCCTTCTGGTCCCATCCCTGGAAAGGGAGGCCTTGGCTGCTGCAGTGATATGGGGAAGCTGTGCGTTCACTAATTCAGTCCGTAACCTAGAGGCTGCCATTATTGAAGCAGTCAGTTCTGGGGAGGCCGCCATTAACAAGGCAGCCAGTATTGGACAGGTCTCCTTTACTGAGGCATCCAGTCAGCCGGAGGCCGTTGTGATATCGGCAGCCAGTCCCTTGGATGACCCCATTAGGGAGGCAGCCAGACCTTGCAGCGAGGTATCGGGAGAAGGTGTTATTCTCGCTAGACTCAGCGGCCTCTGGAGAGGCCTCCTTTACTGAGGCCTGGAGGCTGTACCCGGGAGTCTGCAATTATGGGCATGTGCCCAGATTGGGAATCGAACCAGGGACCTTTCAGTTCGCTGGCTGTCGCTCTACCCACTGAGTGACAGTGGTCAGGGTTACAGTGTGTTCTTTAGAAATGTTTATTTGTCGTATTTCAGAAAGGAAGAGAGAAGCATGAATGATGAGTGATCATCATGGGAATGTGTTCTTACCACGAGAAAAAAATTGAATGTAAAGGTTTTTGTGGAAACATAGTGAGTTTTTTAAAACTAATTTTTATAGATTTCAGAGATGAAGGCAGAGAGAGGGAGGGATCCATTCATCTACTGATGGGCACTTAGGCTGTTTCCAGATCTTAGCTATGGTGAATTGTGCTGCTATGAACATAGGGGTGCATATATCCTTTCTGATTGGTG